TCCCCTCCCTCCACTCTCCATCAGTTTTAGGTAGGAGTAGATGCACTGAAAGAACCTTGCGCTTTCAGCCTGTTTGCTCTGCCTCAGACACACAGGAACTGAGAGCTGGGTTCATTTTCCCTCCAAGGGGCTCAGGGATGGATCATTTCTCCATAGGGAAGACAAGTGGGAGGAATTGAAAATGTTCATCTGTCTGCAGCTCCTCTTGGGACAAYAGCTTTTTCTTCTCTGTATACAGATTTTTGTGCTATGTGAGTAGACCATGTCCTGAGACTTGGATTTAGGAGATTTTCCTTCCTTGGAAGTTTGTCTGATGATGGTTCTTTGGCATTGTCACCAAATTCTTCCCTTGGTAGTCCTTCCCTCTGTAACTGGCAGAACAGCAGGCAGGGTCCTTCCWCTCACCACCTGGGTAATATTGAAGAATTTTCACTGAGTCTCTGCCTTCTGCCCWCTTCATTTGCTTAGAATGGAAGCAAACCAGTAACACCAACTGGTGGGGGACTGATTTTTGCACCCAGCTGTTTYAACAGCTGGCAAGTGGGTTTTTTAAAGCAACACAGCAAAGAAGAACCTGGCAGAGAAAGGAGATGTGTGTTTTGAAAGCAGAGTACCTGAAAGAAGATCACGTCAGGCCAGAGTGTTATTGTTGACAGAGAATGAAAGCAGATCTGGGTGAGGATGTGCATTATCCTCAATTTTGTACTAAAGACAGGAGTGGAAAGGGATRAAGCAGTGAGACTGAACAGGATCTGTGTGATGATCAAGGGGAATAAATACAACTGGCCTTCTACTAACAAGCCAGCCAGAAATGAGTCTTGGATTAGACCCAACCTTAACTGCTGCCTAATATCACTTAAAATCAGGYACCCCAAAAGCACACACATTTGAGAAAGATACCTGTATGTTTTTTCTGTGTAGGAGTAGTTTTATTGGAAGCTTTTCTCCTCAGTGACTCTGTAACCCTGGTCTGTAAATTTATGCACTGGTGCTTAGCAAAGATGGAAATGGCACAGCTAGAGATGAGCCTCCCCCATCGGACTGGCACCCTCACTTCAAAGCTTAGCTTTGGTTATTTAAATGCTAATAGAACTCAGCAAATTACCTAAAGTATAAACACACCTGGCTTCAGTCCTGGGGATCTAATYATAGAGCCTTTTATGTGAAAGAAATTGTTCTTGCTTTCAGAAAAGTGCCTTTTTAAAATGTTCCCACAAAATGCCAGGTGATGGGATGGCACATTASCAGCTCGACCTCTGTAATTGCAACTCTTATCTGTTTCTTATTCATCTTCTGTAGGATTCWGTTCACGAGTGCTCACAGCTCAGACTTCAACCTCCTCTGACCTCTGTTATTTTTCTGCAGATAAACTTCAGTAACGCTTACCCTTTACTGGGTTTTCAGTGAAATGTCAACATTAGGAAGCCTTTTTGCCTGTGTGAACATCCCTGCTGTACAGTTACTGAGAGCTGGGAGCAAGATTTTAGACTCAGGATTATTAGAAAATCGGCTGTAACCCTCCCTTTAGCTCCAGCTGTCACGGGATCCTGGCTCTCTGTTTTTTGATACACTGATGTCCATGGGCTGTGTGAATTATTCTTTCTACATGGGCTGAACCCGGGCCAGCTCTGGGCTACCACACCTGAAGAGGAACTCGAGGAGAGCTCGATGCTTTCTATTAATCTCCCCCAAATAAGTGATCTGCTGCTTCTTAGCCTGACTAAATGGTTGGTTTTAAGCCATGTATAGACTAACTATTGATAAGGATTATGCTGAAAGATGTAAGAATTAACCAGTTTGCATTCTGGACTTTAATTATTTATTTAACTGRTGAAAACCTTAATTTTCTTGTTGTTTATTTCTTAGGAAAGGCAGTATGGAGTGTAATAAATTCCTCATATGGATTAATCCACCATTGCAGGGCTCGTACTCAGGGCTATCTGTAAATGGCAAGAAGGATCTGTTCAGGGCATTTTCACAGTTGCTGCTGCTTTGTTATTAAAGTTAACTTAAACAGATTAACTAGTAAACAACATAAGACTTGACCAAAAATGTTAAATGAAGAAGCCTTCAGGATATATTTTTCAGTTTTTTTCTCAGTGCTTTGAAATACCTGGATCTGCCTATGGAAGAGTAGGATGCCTTTGAATTTCCTTCAGAGGGGCAGTATTGTTTTGGGGTTAGGTTTTTTGTTTGTTTTGTTTCATTTTGGGGTTTTTGTTTTGTTTTGTGGGTTTTTGTTTGGTTTGGGTTCTTTTTTTTTGTCTTAATAAGATACCAAACATTTGTTTTCCTCTGTCAGTGGCAGATTTAAATGCAGAGCCATTGCTTTCTGGTGATGTCTGCTAAGAGAGCTGCCCTTTCATTTAAATTGTGGGTCAGAGACTTGRGGCTTTGTGTCCTGGTTTCTCTTTACCAGACTGCTCCAAAATTCCAGTGTCTAACTGCAAACTGTTTCAGGAATGAAACATGAACAAATCACACAGCAAAGGCTTGAAGCAAATTAATTACATTATGGAAAACAATTTATTACCTGTGACATAATGAGACTTATTTATTTATACATTCAATACACAAACAGTACAAACGTGGTTCTTTATGATTAATTTTCAGATAGAAGTTCACAAATAACTACTCTGATACAAACAGTGCAGCAAAGGTGTGTTCTGATGGCCAAGTAATTCMGGGGAGAGCTGGGTGCAATTTTCTCATGTTGTGGATGGATTGGTGGAGCCAATGTGATAAAGAGCTGAATATCTCACTGACAGCCAGTCCTTTGAAACCCCAAATCAGTCCTGTCAATAAAGAAGAGGAATAAATAATAGAGAAGTGTACAGGATTTCACACATGGAAATTAATTGATTTCTTGCTGTTCTAGTGCCAGATTTAGCTCCACTGTTCTGCTTAGAGTTTGTTTGGATTGAAATAAGCATTCCCAGGGAGCTGGTGAAAAACTTCTCTGATCTTTTAAGACAAGATGAAATGCTTACAGCTGACTTAGAGGCAGGAGGGAAAGCAGGTAAAGCAGAGGTGTGGCATTCACAGGTTTTAACTCTAGATCTGATGACAGTGAATTCTGAGGAAGATAAAATATTAAACTACGTTTGTGATAGGAGGGTAAAAGTTACTTTAAGGCACCATTTCCTTGAAGCTGAATTAACTCTGCTCTTCTGCATATTTCTGAGAGCTATTCACGAATACACAGAGCAGCAGCTTTCTCTTACCAGAGTAAAGAATCAGCATCCCAGTCCACTCAGTGACCCAATTCTGTCCAGCCTGACCCCAAAACAGCCCCTGGAGCGRCCCTTTTTGCTTCTGCCTCGGTATCTGCGGGATAAATTCAGGAGGTCGCTGAAGAATCTCTGGATTTCACTGTCACCCATGAACGTGCTCTCAGGCTGATCCCTGGCATTTTGGATCCACTGGAGTTCAGTGTCTTGCTGGTCAAAAACACCTTCTGGGATCACCTCTTCTTGCTCATCCCTCTCTTCTGAGACCAGGACATGCTCCAGGTCCTCCTCCAACAATTTGGACAGACTCTGGAAAAAAGGGACAGTGGAAGGTGGAAAGGGAAGAGAGGAGAAGGAGCAGTTTTGGGAACTCTTTATTATTTCCATATAAGCCATACTCAGTGCTAAGTTTGAGGACATATTTCTGAAATGCCAGTTAAGTGTTTCCTGGAGCTGGGGATATGGGATAAATGGCAAAGAAAATGAAAAAGGCCTGATAAAATGTAAATAAGGAATAAGAAAAAAATGGTTGATATCTAAGGGAATTAATGCAATGACAAGAGCTATGCTGAAATTGTTGCTGAAGGATTACATTGTATATTTCTTTACTTACTGAGAAGTWACTTCATATGTGGCAATACTGGCTCCCCAGTGCAGTAATTAAAATGTGTTTTCCTAATGACTTGGAATTCCCACACAAAAAAATACACACAGGCAAACATACAGAATGCTTCTTTCTCTTATATTCCATACCTGGTAGCTGCAAGCAGGAGCTGCATTGCTGCACAACTGAGCTGAGGAGGAGATCCTACAGGTACAACCCCTTAATTCCTTTTTCAGCTATAACCAGGGGCTTCAGGGAGGAGCATGCAGGTGACTGCTCTAGGGCTTTAGATCACAGTCCTTCCAGGAGAATTCCTTTTACTGCAAAAGCTTGTTGCTTCACTCAGTCACAGGATGACCTTCAACATACAATTCCCTAACTGAACCCACAGGAAAAAAAAAACCCACCAAAATTTTCCTTTCAATTGCTCATGTGATTAGATATTGAAATCAAATAATCAATGACTTTAATTTCCCCCATTTAATAATTCTGTGTCTGCCCACCTCAGCATTCCTGCTGTCAAGATGTCTCTTTAAGCTGGGTTGGGAGAAACAGAGCTCACCTGATGTGTCCAATTCCTAAAGAAGCATCAGCTTCTTTCAGCTCCTGGAGCAGTCACTTACCTGTGAGCTGGAAATGGATCTGGCCCCTGCCTGCTTTKGACTGACAATAAGCAGCAGAAGGAGTCCAGGGTAAAAAAGAAGTTTCAGATTCATGTTCTTGTTTTGGTGTCTCTGGTTCTCCTTCACTCAAATCTCTCCAATGTTTCTCTGTCTCTCCAGCTAGCAGCATTTATATCTTCCTCCAACCCCTCCCAAGTCTACCTTTTGAGTTCCTGCTAGTGCAAGGATTGGTTTGAGGTTTTGATCTGTTTTCAACCACCCAGGAGGAGGAGGGAGGAAATTGTTCTCTTTTCTGGTGGTGAATTAAAGGAGCATTTTCCACTTAGGCAATGCAGCATCATTCTGCTGTCTTGGTGCCACTGATGCACATCAGTGAGCACAGCTCARTGTTCCTTAGGCTGACTGCTAAACCTTTTCTTTTCATCCAGAGAAAAATAATTGTGAGAGAGCTATAAAGAGAGACAGGAAGTGAATGATACCCATGGCAATTCACCTGGTTCCTTTGTCACTGTGAAGCACCAAACCAGAGGGATGKGGGCTAAGAAAACATGCTGTGTAAGAACTGACTGTTATTACATAATAATATTATAACATAATAACATAACTTATTAATATGATGTTAGTAACTTGAGAGATTAAAGGGTGTGATTTGGAGAAGTATTAAAAACATAACAAGTTGCAATAATTACACAGTGACAGTGAGTGTGACCAAAATCAGGTTGACATGTACAGCTTCTGCAAGGCTTAAGTTGAGGAATAAAGTCCTCTTTCCCTGAGTCCAGCTTAAAATACTTCCTTTATGTAATCTTTCTCAGTTTATTGTGCACAATTTGTATTAATTCTGAAATCAGTCTGAAAGGAAAAACAGGCTTGAAATTTGGCTTCACTGGAAAATGGAAATGTTCCTCAGTATGCAATAATACATCTTGCCCTTTCATGGCATTTTTGCACACATGTGATGCACAGAGTTAAAGGCCATCAAGCTGGATCTACATGGAGAAAATTAAGGATCATCTGGCATTTTTCATCTGATATTTGTGTTACTGAAAGCTTGGAAACCAGTTTTCAGTACCAAATGACATAATTTTTTCTCTAGAAATGGGTCTTGGAAGGAGACAGCTTACAAACATCTCTCTGTGATGGAAAGGGAAGTCTGATTTTATTATATTGTTGGGAGTTTTGTGTTGTTGGTGTTGATGAAAACCACATTTGATATGAATTTCATTAGTAAATGAAATGGTCATCCCAGAGGTTTGAGGTTTGTACTTTGCAGCGTAACAATACAGTAAGAGAAGGTCAGGACAGTTTCAGGTTCATCTCTTCTCCTCTGCAAAAGCCCAGGATTGTTTTGTTGGTTTGATTGGCTTGTCACAGGTGCATAATGTGGATAATAAATCCTCTGGACCTCAAGATCTCTGAAATTGTTTTGGGGTACTGCTGAATTGTATTTCTGGTTACATTCATACACTAGCACAACCCTTATCCAAGGAAAAGAATAATTAAGGCTGGACAGGACTTCTAGATGTCTGTGTTGCAATCCTGTGCTAAAGCAGAGCCAACTTAGATGAAATTTCTCAATGCCTTGTCAAGTTGAATTTTGAAAACCTTCAAGAAACAACTATTTACTAATATCTACTTGGAATTTTCCCTGTTGCAATTTGTGTTGCCTGCCATCCTGATGCACTGCAGCTGGATGCTGTCCACAAACACAACAGGAGGATGTTCTATCTCCCCAAACGATGAGATTCCATGTGAGTGTTTCAGAGAGAGCTGCAAACCCAGGCAGCAAAGGCAGCTTTGGTCCAGGTAACTCAGCTGGGTTCAGATCAGATTTGGTGCAGTGGCAAGCAGTGGTTAGAAACAGAAAGCCATGCAGCAAATGTCTCTGCTTTACATTCCAGACCTTGCCAGGGCTCAGAGCACCATCAAAACTCAGTATCTGAATATTCTGATTTAATATTGGTGATACTGCCAAGATGCAGACTKCAGCACCAATGTCAGCCTATAAGAAGGGAGGAACCCCTGAGGACAGCAGTCATGATTTTGAAGGTAGGAAATGGATTTGTGCCCCTTTCTGAAGCGTTCCTCTGGATTTAGGGTGGAAGGAGTTATCAAGAAGGCATCAGGTTGATGTGTGTTGCTCATCTCCGACACTAAATTGTTTCCCAGCTTCCTGAGATATTTTTCCTGTATCTTTAAGTCTGGATAAAGAATAGGATTAGGGAGAACTCTTTCTCTGGGGAGGTACCTGCCTCGTCCCGTGAGGCAGCTGAGCTCTGAGCTGACAGCACATGTCTTGGGCAGGTGTGGTCAGAGCACTGCTGCAGTACCTCATCTTGCTCCTTCCTGCCTCTGTGACCCCTTTAGGCTCCCTTTAGTCCTCCCCAGATGCTCAGGCCAGCATTCCCTGGCTGGCTGAAAGGGCAGTGATGTGTCTGCAGTGCTGTCATCACTGTGGATGGCTGGCTCTGTGAGAAAAGCTGGCACCAGGGGCTCCTCACTGAGACATTCACATTTCATCTCCAGGCGTTTTCCTGGTGCTGCCTCCCCTGCCTTCTCCCGAGCTGAGGCTGACCACTCAGTGCCCAGTGCAGGAGGGGACATAGGGGACATTCTGAGCAGGGACTGAGCTCATTCTGAGCAGGGACTGAGCTCATTCACCAGGCACTGCTGGTGTGCAGTGGCTGCATCTGCTCCAGCACAGTCCAGGGCAGAGTTTGACCCCTGCCTTTGGGATGGCTGGGACTGGGGGAACTGGGGGCTCCTGGTGTCTGAGAGAGCCCATTCTTGGGGGATAAACCATTCCTTCAMTGCCAGGTAACTCAGAAAGAGCTTCCCTTGGGGGCTGCCATCCCACAGGGCCACTGCACAGGGTTCTGTTCCCTCTTCCTGCCCCACAGCACCTTCCATGGGATGGTGAAGGACAGTAAAGGGACAGAGTCAGTGCTGGCACTACTCTGCTCTGGATCCCAAGGATGTGTTTGCCTTTGCACTAATTAATACTCAATCTTTTTGAATGGATGAAGAGCCCTTTGGCACAAGAAGGGCCCAAGGCCACCTGAGAACAAGGAGGGCAGCAGGCTGGCACATAGTAGCAGGTGTGGTTCTGGAGCATTAGGTTTTGATGGCAAAATTTTAATATTAGGTTTGTTAGGCAGATTTATCACATTCCTCTGATGTTAATGAAGCCCAACAAGGAAGCTGARGTGAGGGAGGGGAGAGCCTAACAAGGATCCTTAAACAGATCCTCAAACAAGTTCAGAGTTCAGAGTAATGGCACAAGGATTCTGGTCAGTGCTTGGTGAGAGGCAGATGCTTAAAGAAACATTCATGTTCCATAAATCCTCACCTGAAACTTTTCTTTTGGCTAAGCTTCATCTCTAGCAAAATGAGCAGCATCTGTTCATCTTGTTTTGAAAAGGTGGGAACATCTACAAGCAGACACCCTCCAGCTGGAACATGGATTAGCTGTGCATGGCTCTCAGCCATGTAGCTCTTTCAAGTCCTAGGGCAGCCATTCTTGTTTCCCTATGTTCTTTATGTTGGGTCTCAGAAATTCATAGGCTGATCCTGCACTGAACTGCTCAGAATCCAAATTTTTCATTCTCTGTGGGGTATAAGACACCTTTGATGTTTGGACTGAGGTCTAATTTGTCTCCATGTTATTGACTTTCTTTAGAAAGGTTGAATTTTCAGTGGGAGCAGCAGCACACAGGAGAGTTGTGGCGTTGGTCTGCATTTCCTGAGCTCTGACAGGAGGCAGAGGATGTGACATATCCCCAATTGTTTGAGATRGGACATTTCCCAGCCCAGCTAGACAGTTCCTCGAGCGAGATCCCACTGGGGCTCTTCACCTGTTTATTGAGGTGTGTGCTGACATCTTCTGGCCAGTGCCTCTGGAGAGCAACTTCTGCTCAAAACAGAGAAAACAGGCTGAGATGTTCTGATAAAATTATCACTTCATAATCAAAAGCACAGTACATGCACAAAAGCAAAGGGCTGAGTGGCTTTTTTGGGGGGTTTAGCATGGAAGTGTGTGTGAATAGTCATGCTTTGGGAAGGCCCATGGTCTGTGTGTGCTGCATGAATGGTTTGTGCTGATATTTTAAAATTTGAGTGTCACGTGGATGGCTGAGTTGTGTTCAGCACTGGTGTCGTGGGTTTAAAATCTGATTTTTCCCAATCCGAGTCACGGCACCAAAAATGTCATTGTTTGGACTGTGCTGAAAGCCAAAAGCACTGCACCCACGATGTTCTCTCCCTTCCCCCACAGGAGAGGCAGAAGGGAGAGCAAAAGCCCAATTAACACGAAAATTTATGGCTTTCAGATAACATGTGTCGATCTGGATTCTTTCAGCAGATTTTGCAGAATGTAAATTTGTGTAAGAAGAGATGGCTRTAGGAAGACATTTCCTAAGGGTTTAGTCTGGCATAAACTTGCCAGGATTTTCTTTGCAGCTCAGCTCRTCCTGGCATAGCTGGGAACAGTGTCACCAGCGCCCATTGATCAAGGTTTTCTTGCCAAGCAGCCAAATCAAGGGGCAAGAGGTCACACCATCCCATTGTGCTATTTATTGCTGCATGCCATTTGTCAGAGTGGAGCGTGCAGAAGGAGAAGCCATTTCTAGAAATGGCTAAACAGCTACAGGAATGAAATGGCACCTGTCCTAGAAGTTGCAGTGGTTGTTTACTTCCCTTCTCCCTCCCCTAACAGACTGGTGATGAACCTAAAAATAACCCARCCAACTAAAAATGTGATCATTACATAAAGCCTGTCCTCCACAAAACCCTTGGCAGGTTTTGTTCTGTCTGTGAGAGTGGCACTGTGCATAACCTCAATTTTRTATTCCCAGAGCAGGATCCCAATTRTCCATTACTTTTGACACATCTCAGAATTGTGGACTTTCCCTGGCTAGAGAGTGGTGTAGGCTGGTCCCTGTGTTTTGAGAACAGGGAGGTAAACTACCCTGGTTTTGTTTGGGATTCATACACAAAATTTGTGTATTATTCTTCTTCCTGCTAACATTTATGGCCCTTTTCACCAATGTTTCTCAACAGTTCAGGTACAACTGCACGCTTGCCTGTACCCACCACTGCTTATTGTGATTAGAAGGTAAATCCTTCTA